CTGTCTCTCTCTGTCCCAAAAATAAATAAATGTTGAAAAAAAAAATTTTTTTTTAAAAAAAAAAAGTTCATTGATATACTTTCAGATTCTAGAACTGCAACTTTTAAGATACTACAACTTATAAAAAAAATAATTATCTGGAAAAGTTATTAAAATATTCCTGCCTTTTCTAACTACACATCTGTGTGAAGCCAGGTTTTCTTAATATACTTGAACCCAAACATTGCACAACAGATTGAATACAGGAGCGCACATGAGAATTCAAGTATCTTCCATTAAGCCTGGCATTAAAGAGATTTGCAAAAATCTGAAATAGTACCATGTTTCTATTTTTTTATTTGAAAACATAACTGTGTTCATTAAAGTACACATGTTTATGTTAACATGGGTTGTTATTTTTAATAAATTAGTATTTTTATTTCTTCCCTTTAATTTGCATTACTGTCAATACATATAGATGTAACCCACATTTTTTAAAAAAGTTCTTTAGGGCTCTTAATAATGTATAAGATTGTGAAAGAGCTCTGAGACCAAAAATAATGAAAACTGCTAACCTAAAATTGAGTTGTGGGGCTTCTATTTTTTTTTTTTTTAAGTTTATTTTTGAAAGAGAGACAGAGTGCCAGCAGGGGAGGGGCAGCGAGAGAGGGAGACACAGAATCGGAAGCAGGCTCCAGGCTCTGAGCTGTCAGCACTAACCGTAAGATCTCACTAACCATGAGATCATGACCTGAGCAAAAATTGGACACTTAACTGACTGAGCCACCCAGGCGCTCCCGGGTTGTCAATTTTTGTTCTCTCTGGAACCACATCCTATACCACCAGTATGATCTTCCTGTGAAATAGTTTTAAAGCAAGACCTTTTACTCATCAAAACTTCAAGGTAGTTCTCATTATTATATAACCATAGTTTTTGTTATTTTAATGTGAGTTTTCCAAAGTGATATTTCAGAAGTACATCATAAATTGAAAAGGGAGATTGTTGGGAGAGGGCCCAAGATGGCAGAACAGCATGGAAGTTTTTTTGGGGTCTCTTGTCCCTGAAATGTAGCCAAATCAACACTAAACCACATGCACACCTACAAAACTGATTTCAGGATTAACACAACAATCTCTACAATCTGAACCACAAAACTCAGCAGGTACGAGTGAAGAGGTGAACTGGGGGAGAGAGGAGCCACAGAGGTCAGGGAGCTGTTTTTTGCTTGCAGAGAGAGGCCGGAGATGGGGGGAGAGTACCAGAAAAGCACCTCTTGCAAAAAAAACAGCTGGAAAGAAAGAGGAAAAGTGGAAACATCTCCAGGGACTGAACAAAAAAAGGAGAAAGGAGAGGGTTTAAATTCCATTAAGATTCTATAAACAGGGGAGCACAGAGTCTGAAACTCAGCAGCTCCATACCTGGCGATGCTCTGGTGGGAAGGGCGAATCCTCAGGAGCAGAGAGCGAGGTCCAAAGAGTGAAGAGCCCAAGGGCCACAGGGGAAGAGGCGGTTCCCCTGCTGGGAGGACATATGGTAGAGGCTGTGTGCTCCCCGCCCCTGGGGCAAAGACCCCATTGGACCCAGGAGAACAGCCACATTCACTGGTGCTGAAACAAGCACTATAAGGGTGAAGCCAGGCTCCAGGTGCGTGTTGTGATTTTTCATAAACTCTGAAACGCTGCTGCTACAAGATCGCGCGAACTTTTTCTGGGGCAGACTGGCACCCAGCCACAGGCTCTGAGCATCGGCAGCAGTGAGGTCTCCGAATGTTCCTGGGTGCAGCCAGCACCTGGCCATTGCTCAGCGAGGCCCTCCCCCTGAGGGTCTGAGCAGGTCAAAGCTGCAGTCCCTCAGAAGTGAGGGGTTGGGAAACACAGCCAAATTGTAGCAGGATTCTTGCACAGAGAGTTGCACAGAGAGTCGTAACAGAGGCTTTTCTTTCCAGGAAGCAATTTTATTCCTGCCAGCTTTGAATAACACTGGACCAGATGGACTTAACAGATATATTCAGAACATTTCATCCTAAAGCAGCAGAATACACGTTCTTCTCCAGTGCACATGGAACATTCTCCAGAATAGATCACATACTGGGACACAAATCAGCCCTCAACAAGTACAAAAAGATCAAGATCATACCGTGCATATTTTCAGACCACAATGCCATGAAACTCGAAATCAACCACCAGAAAAAATTTGGAAAGATAACAAATACTTGGAGACTAAAGAACATCCTACTAAAGAACGAATGGGCTAACCAAGAAGTGAAAGAGGAAATTAAAAAGTACATGGAAGCCAATGATAATGATAACACTGAAGCACAAAACCTCTGGGATGAGCAAAGGTGGTCATAAGAGGGAAGTATATAGCAATCCAGGCCTTCCTAAAGAGGGAAGAAAGGTCTCAGATACACAACCTAACCTTACACCTCAAAGAGCTGGGAAAAGAACAGCAAAATAAAACCCAAAACCAGCAGAAGACAGGAAATAATAAAGATCAGGACAGAAATCCATGCTATCAAACCCCCAAAAAAACAGTAGAACAGATCAATGAAACCAGAAACTGGTTCTTTGACAGAATTAACAAAAT